GACCCTACCCAGAGAAGAAGTGATGTCTGAAATGGAGCCAGAGATGACGACGTGGAGCGAGGGAGCAGCTGAAGACTTTAGATCCAGAGAGGGAAAGCGATGGTGTGCTGAAGACCTGGGGGGCACGGGGGAAGGATTGCATGAAGGGGATTGTAACCATGGCAATGAGATGATATATCATAGAATGAATGTAAAACTAATGTTCTCCCGTATAAACTATCACATAATTCACAATAAAACATTTAAGAAAAAAAAAAAAAAAAAGAGAAGATGGAAAGAAAACACAGAGTCACTGTACCAAAAGGAAATGGTCAATGTTCAACTGTTTCAAGAGGTAGCATATGATCAAGAGCCAATGCTACTACTGAAGGAGGAAGGCCAAGGTACATTGAAGGAATTGGCAAACAACAAGGCTTCAGGAATTGATGGAATACAAATTGAAATCTTTCAAGAAAGTGAGGTGGCACAGGAGGCACTCACTCATTTATGCCAAGAAATCTGGAAGACAACTATCTGGCTAACTGATTGGAAGAGATCCGTATTTGTGCTCATTCCAAAGAGAGGTGACCCAATGGAATGCAGAAATCATCGGACAATCTCTTTGATATCCCTTGCGAGTAAAGCTTTAGTAATACAGATATGACAGAGAACTTCCAGAGGTTCAAGCCGGATTCAGAAGAGGTTGTGGAATGAGGGATATCATTGCTGATATCCGATGGAACATAGCTGAAAGCAGAGAATACCAGAGGGATGTTTACCTGTGTTTTATTGACTGCACAAAGGCTTTCAATTGTGTGGATCATGACAAGCTATGGACAACATTGCAAAGTATGAGCATTCCGGAACACTTAATTGTGCTCATGAGGAAGCTGTACCTGGACCAAGAGGCAGTTGTTTGAACAGAACATGGGAACACTGAATGATTTAAAATTAAGAAAGGTGTGCGACAAGGTTGTATTGTTTCACCATATTTATTCAACCTGTATGCTGAGCAAATAATCCAAGAACCTAGATTATATGAAGACAAACATGGCATGAGGATTGGAGGAAGACTCATTAACATCCTGTGATATGCAAATAATGCAACCTTGCTGGCTGAAAGTGAAGAGGACTTAAAACATTTACTGATGAAGATCAAAGAACCCAGCCTTCAGTATGGATTACATTTCAATGTCAAGAAAACAAAAATATTTACCACTGGACCAATAAACAACATTCTTATCGATGGAGAAAAGATTGAAGTTGTCAAGGACTTCATTCTTCTTGAATCAACTATCAACACTCATGGAAGCAGCGGTCAAGAAATCAAACAACATATTGCATTAGGCAAATCTGCTGCACAAGATGTTTTTAATGTGTTGAAGAGCAAAGATGTCAGCTTGAGGACTAAATTGCACCTGACCCAAGCCTTGGTATTTTCAATAACCTCATATGCATGTGAAAGTTGAACACTGAATAAGGAAGACCGTAGAAGAATTGATGCTTTTGAGTTATGGTGTTGGAGGAGAATATTGAAAGTGCCGTGGGCCGCCAAAAGAACCAATAGATCTGTTTGGAAGAGTGCAGCCAGAGTGCTCCTTAGAGGCCACAATGGCCAAACTTCGTCTCTCACACTTCCGACATATTGTCAGGAGGGACCAGTCACTGGAGAAGGATATCATGTTTGGTAAGGTGGAGGGTCAGAGAAAAAGAGGAAGACCACCAACAAGATGGATTGGCCAAGTGGCAGCATCGATGGACTTAAGTGTGGTGACAGTAGTGAAGTTGCCCCAGGATCGGGCAGTGTTTTGTTCTACTGTGCATAAGGTAGCTATGGGTCGGTACCAACTCGATGGCATCTAACAACAACAAATGAGGCAGTTCTATACCATCTCATAGAGTTAATATAAATCAGAATCCACTTAGTGACACCTAACAGCAACATAAACGAAAATATTATATTAATTAATGTAAGTCAATAAATATTAACTTACACTTGTCCCAGCAACTGTCTGGTTGACCAACTCATAATGGACCTGTAATTTACCACCATGAAATGCAAAGTGCCTCCATTTATTTCTATCATTCTGTTACACAATGAAAAGATTTCATTGTTTGTTTGTGTTGCTTTTAACTGTAAGAAAGAATATCTATGATTCTTGCATAATTTCAATGTTTGATACTTTTTTATTACAAAACTAATGTTTTTAGGGAAGAAACCATCACTCCACATACCAAAATATGTACATGAGAGTACATATAACCCCAAGTGACTTTTCCCCAGTTGTAAGGAGGAAATATAGTGGAAATTGTCCTCAAGACTTGTAGAAATAGATCCTAGGACATGATATGTTGTTGTTGTTGTTGTT